TTGTTTTTGCAATTTTAACGTTATTATAATAATAATAATAATAAAGCTTTATTTATTTCAGTATAAAAGTATATTTACAATTCAAAGTATTAGTAGATTTCTTAAACTAGGTTAGTTTGTAATTTTAATATGTTTGTTATAATAATATAATATTTTTCTTGCTGTTCCTTTTACACGAACCGCTTTTGGGTAAAAGCCTCCTCTAATTCCTTCCATTTATCCCTATTCCAAGAAAATTCCAACCAGTTTCTACCTGCTATTTTTTTTATATCGTCAGACCAACGTTTAAGTGGTCTGCCTTTGATTCTTTTTCCAGCAGGTCCTGCCGATTTAGTAGCTTGTAAAGACCATCTCTTGTCTGTGTACCTTGACAAATGGCCAGCCCATTTCCACTTAAGTCGCAAAGCTTGTTCAAGAGCATCTGTGAGCCTGGTTTTCCTCCTTATGACTTCACTGCCAATTTTTAGAATTTTTCTTATTTTAAGCATACTTCGTTCCATTGACGGCTGGCATGTTTTGATTTTACTTTTTATTTTATTTGTGAATGTCCATGTTTGGCTACCATAAGTTAGGCTTGGAACTATACATGTATCCATGACGATTTTCTTTAATTTTAAATCATAGTCTCCCTTCAAAATGTCCTTGTGCAACCAAAATTTTTTCCATGTGCTGATGATCCTTCTGTCCACTTCCTCCTCATTACTGTTTTTGTTGAATGAGACTTGTTTTCCGAGGTACAATTATTCATTCATATGCAAGAGATTGCATCATTTGACTATGACTAAGGTGGTGCCCTAGTATGCATATTCCATTCCGGCTCCAATCAAGGTTTTTGAAGGCACATTCCAGTACTGCTATAAAGAGTTTCGGTAATAGAGGATCACCTTGTTTTACTCCTTTCTCTATTGCAATCTGTTCTCCTTTATTTTCCATCTTGATTTTGCTTGTACTTTGAGAGTAGATGTTTTTTATGATGTTGATGTATGTCTTACTTACACCACAGATATTGAGGGCTTTCCAGATGGAGGTGTGAGTTATGGTATCAAATGCCTTTGTGTAGTCTACATAAGCTATATAGAGAGGTTGATTGAATGAATTCTTTATATTTTTCTAGGATTTGTTCTAAGGTGTGGATGTGATCTATTGTTGAAAACCCTGAGCGGAAGCCTGCTTGTTCAATTGGTTGTGATGCGTCTATGATTGGTGTGATTCTGCTCAACAGTATTGCTGTGAAGAGTTTATAAATGCTCGGCAATAGACTGATTGGTCTATAGTTCCCAATGTCTAGTGGGTCTCCTTTTTTGTATAGCAGAACTATATCGGAATTACACCATTGTTTGGGGACCATTTCTGTTTTGAGAGATGAATTAAAAACTTGTGTTAGATGTGAGAGTGAAAGGGGTGCCCCAATTTTTAAAATTTCATTAGTTATGTTGTCCGGGCCTGGACTCTTATCTGTTTTGAGTTTTTTGAGATGTTCAAGTACCGCATACTCATCAATAGGTTTTATTGTTTCTTCTTCCTCCTCAGGATCTATGTGATTGTCTTCTGTCTCATTTGTTTCCGAATATTTTTTATACAACTCCTTGTAAAACTCGGTGGCGTGGTTGATATATCTTGCCTTGTTTTCGTTTCTCCAAAGCCTTTCTTGAGTTTTCCTATCCAGTTTCTTTGTGTCGTTAATTCTTTATAAGCTCGTTTCGAACTCCTATATTTATTTAAGTTTCTCTCTACAACTTCTCTTTTGTATGTATTGTAATCATTTCTTATAGCCTTGCTGCAGATCTTGAAAAGATTCTTTAGCTCTTCTTTCATTTCTTTGGTTTTGTGTTTGGTTTGTATTAGTTTATTGCGTTTATTCATTAGGTCTTTTGTTGTTCTGCTCAAGATTTTTGTCTCATCTTTTGTGTTATTGTATTTTATTTTTTGGCTGCTTGTAATTGCATGTTCCACTTTATCATAGTAATGTTGTACATTATTTTCTTCAGGTAGTATACAGAATTGTGTCTCTAGGTTTTCTTTAAGGCATGCTAAATACAATAATTTTTCATTGTCGGTTTTTGGTATTCTAGGTAATGAGCTGCAGGTTTTCCTGCTTTTCTATGGTGATTTCAAGCTATAGGATGATCTTATTAGTCTGTGGTCCGATGGATATGGCACATTATTTAGTACTTCTATGTTGGTTATTTGCCTTGGTTTGTTGCACATAATATAATCAATTTCATTTTTTGTTTTTTGGTCTGGAGATATCCAGGTCCATCTGCGATCTGCTTTCTTTTTAAAATAGGTGTTCATTATGCTCAGTTTTTGTTCGTAGGCATACTGTACAAGTCTGTAACCTTTCTCATTTTGCTTTCCATATCCAAATTTTCCCATTATAAACTTTTCATATTTTTTAGGTTGTCCTACTCTTGCATTAAAGTCTCCCATTACAATCACATTTCGATCTTGATTCTCATGTGCCTTTCTTAAATCATTGTAAAATTTATCAGTCTCCTCTTCGGAAGCTTGCTCGGTAGGTGCATAGGCCTGCACAAGGGTTAATAATTCATGCTCATATTTTAGTTTCAGGACTGCCACTCTTTCTGATATGCCCGTGAAGCTTACAATGTTTGGTTTGTGAATTTTCTTGACTAAAAAACCTATTCCATACAGCCCGGTGGTTTCACCTATATAGCATAATATATATTCTCGATGTTCTATATTGCAGCCCATTCTCCTTACTTCTCCAAGCCTATAATATAAAAATTTATGTTTTTGAGCGCGTGGGTCAGTTCTAATAATCGTTCCCTTGTAGACAACGACCTCACATTATATGTACATATCTTTAGTTGCTGTGGTGCTTGTTTTAGGTTAATTTTCGGTGTGGTGTTATGTTGGAATTTAGAGGGTTTTAACGTTATTACCATTTATTTACATTAAACAAGAGTCAGGTATATTGTTTCCAGTACTGCACTAAATAGGATTGTTAATGTACAAAATATGAAAAATGAACATCCGGTACTTTTACGTACTTATGAATGAATTACAAAGTTGAATGAAAACTGAATTCTTCCGAATATGACTTTAATGAAACGTTCTCCTTTGCGTTCATTCATAAAAATTCTGAAAGAATTGCCGCCAATTAACCTTTGATTTCTTTTTCAAACTGATTGTATTTAACAGAGCCTTTGATGTGCTTTGCTTTGCTGACCGAATGCAACGATATTAACTATCGGTCTCGACGAGCGTTGTCCTGCAAGGTAAAAATATATATGAAAAAAACATTAAAAGAAACCCTAAAATCCCACTGCAGAGTAGTTTTCTTCAAGAACCTTCTTCAGTGTTTAAGGAAACTTAAAATTCCCGGACATGTGTGAGTCAGACGCGTCCACCGAAGGTTCCGTACAAATTTGTAGGTCATCATCATCAGCCTATTAATGTCCCCACTGCTGAGGCACAGGCCTTCCCTATGGATGGAATACGGAGATTGGGCCATGCCCCACCACGCGGGCCCAGTTTATGTAAATCAGTGCATTATTCTGACGATGCAGACCTGGAAAGGCTGCGAAACGTCAATAAATAAATAAAGTTCGTGCATTAGCCCGTTAAAACTAGTTTTATATATTTTTTTATTTTTTTATTACAGCAAGATTACGTCTTGTTGATTTATTTTAGTATTCTAGAAAATCGTAAAAAAATATAGTATTTATCTCGTTTTACAGGTAAATTTTACTGTTTATTAATGCTACTATATTTGTATATATTTGATATGGTCTCATTAAGACCTTTCCAATGATACCTATATTGTAATCATTACCTATATTGTATTATAGACTTTTTAATGCACATAAATAATTGACATTTTGACATTGCTGTTATCTCAATTTTAACCGTTTAGGTATCCTATGTTACCCGGAATAGTGAAAAGATTCTATCCGCACACATCTTAATCGGAATTTAAGGTGGAATAAAGAATTGTACATACATACAAAAAAAAGTGTAATGTACTCAGTTATACTCTTTTTTTTGGGCAGTCGTGTAAAAAAATGTTACAGACGCTTCTATTCCGTTAAAAAAAAGGCTTTAAATTATGAATGTTTAGCTATGCCAGTAATGGTAACTAATAATCAACATTATTTTATAATAATTGGAACTGACCTGAAGAGTATGTGTATGCGCAACACAGCTCGTTTGCACGCAACCGTTATGACAAAATTACAAAAGTTTAGCTATGGTAATAAAGGATTTCAAAATCATGACGATTATACGATTACAACGTTAAATATAAGTACTTGCTTGCAAGTAAATGGCTTTAGGTCAAAGGTATCTTTAAAGTCTTTGAACAACCACAAATCCTTTAACTTAAGGGTAATGGAGTAAGACACGGAAAACATTAGTATGGAAGTTATGAGCTTTAGATGGAAATACAAACTTGTTTAGGTTGTATTCTAGGATTTGCTTTAAGCAATATCTTATGCTTACCTAATATTGCATTATTATTACGAATTGTTTCTTAAGTTTTCACGCACACCACTCATTAAGTGACACTTAATTTAGAATGACTTCTAATATAATTCATATTTAATTAATTCTGACGACGCAGGCTGAAAAGGATGCGGAATGTCAAAAAAGTAATAAAAAGACGCATTTTGAACCCGTTTCAGCGTGTTTCATTTAATTATTACGATTTTTACTGTAGATGAATTGAAATAAGTTTATGTTTTTTGCTGAATTTTAGTAAAGTAAGATTTAACTGAGAAGTAGTGTTTAGAATTGCGTGGACCATTCCACTCTTATACAATGATTGTAATTACTATTGGAAGGAAAGGAATGAAACCACGTCTTGGTTTAGTAATCATTACATTTTTAAACACTTTTCAGTGTCCATCATTAAAGACTAGCAAACGAAATTCTGCGTGAAGCCTGAAACAACAGATTTTGTTACAAGAAATAATATTTTTATTAAACATCTAATACTCAGAAACCTACTTATTTATTAGTGTTCATGCTTGTTACAGATGACGTCAGAGGTGAACGAATGGTACCGCGGGCGGAAGGTGTTGGTGACAGGCGCGTCAGGCCTGATGGGCAAGGTGTTGATCGAAAAGCTACTGTACAGCGTACCCGACGTCGCCTGCGTCTACGCAGTGGTGCGCTCCAAGCGGGGGAAGACCCCTGAGGCTCGCATTGAGGACATGTGGAAGCTTCCCGTAAGTACATATCTGTGATAAGTAACTTACAGCCGCATTCAGTTGGTAAGCAAGATGTTGATCGAGAAGTTGCTGTACATTGTGCCAGACATCGCCTGTATCTGCGCAGTGGTGCGCTCAAAGCGGGGGAAGACGCCTGAGGCACGCATTGAGGACATGTGGAAGCTTCCCATCAGTACAGATCTATGATAACTTAAGTACAGCCGCACTCAAGTGAATATCAAGGTGTTGATTGAGAAGCTGCTGTACAGCGTGCGCAACGTCGCCTGCGTCTACGCAGTGGTGTGCTCCAAGCGGGGGAAGACCCCTTAAGCCCGCATAGAGGATATGTGGATGTTTCCGTAAGTGCCGCTTTGTGATATGGATGCACTTAGTTGTTAAGCAAGGTACTGATCGAGAAGCTGATGTACAGCGTGCTGACATCGCGTGCGTCTACGCAGTGGTGCGCTTCAAGCGGGGGAAGACCCCTGAGGCCCGCATAGATGACATATGGAAACTTTCCGTGAGTGCAGATCTTGGATAAGTTACTTACTTACTCAGAAACTACAAATTAATTTAATGTTTCATTAAGTTACGTGTTGCCTTCATTCTATTGCAAAGAAAGCAACAATATACGCTACGACCAATAGAAGCGGAGCATCAATGAAAAATATTGCAAATCTGGAAGATATTCGGCATCAGATAAAATATAACGCACAGTAATATAACGATACAAATCGTATAGACGGAAAGCTCTAATAAAAGTTCGCGATGGTATGTGCCTACATCATAATATTGACTCACTAATCCTTTTTACTCAAATTAACGCTGATGAAATCGCAAGGCACAGCTAGTAAGTATATAAATAATATAGAGTTCAAGTAAATGATGCCGTCCCACCCATTGATGTTAAGTGGTGCAATACAGATGCGAAAATTACGAGAAGCTAGTGCAGGCTGTGCAGGAGTGTTATCTGCTACACTGTCATTACTTTATCAGCTTTCTTGAAATTGCTATTTAACGCCTCTTTTAAAGGATTGTAGAATAGAGGAAATAACAGCAGGGGGAAAACGTTCCATTTTCTGATGGTGCACAAAGGTATTAGTTATAAATTCTCATTATTCGCGTTTAGTTAAACAAATTTCAAGCATTAAACGTCTCGATTTTTATATTGAATCATAATATGTATATATCTTCTGTGAATTTACCATACTACTCCCGTACTTCTTTAAAAATATATTTTAACATCTTGTCGTATTTTTTGGACAAAACCACAGAACACAGAAAGACCTCTTTCTGTGTTCCGTGGACAAAACCCATCATTTTGTTTGATCGATCCTTTTCAAGTGTATGTACACCTACCCTGTAAGTTTCATTCGGATTCAATAAATCAATGTTGTATATTTCTGCTATTTATAGAGTAAAAGTAGCTAACCCACTTTTCTATAACTTGACAAGTGGCGCGATACATCATAATATGTTAATGACACGATCTAACACACTTCGCGCAAAATGTGGTAATACGCGAACGCCATTAGGACGTTTGGCAATAGAATGGCCAATGCCAAGTCCTCAATTTATTCAAGCGTAGAACTGTGGAACATCTAGTACTGACATACATAGCTTTAATTGCTATTTCCAGGGAAAATGTTCACCGATTGTTAATTGTGGTAGTTAAAACGATACATTAATGCACCACGAAATTACCTGCGTCGCGAGAGTTTGTTATCCGCAAACCAACGCGGTGTTGGTCATTGTCGTGGATATAATGCATTTTCTCTCCCCGTCTTCGTATATGCTTGTTTGCCACCCACAATATAAAAAAAATGTATTTTAAAATACTGTTTGAGCGAGGGCAATAATATGCTGGTAAATGATTATTTATTATACTTACACACGCATACACCTGCATAATTTTAGTAACAAAAGCCTTGAGAATTCGCAACTCGCAAAAGGTCTGAAAAACAATCGATCAGTTTAATAATATGCCCTTAATAATTCATAAAAGAATGACAGTGACAAACATACCTTGAACGCTAAGGTATTTTATGTCCTGACACGTTTTGGTCATTTTGAGGTTATACGATTCTTGTGAAAGTTGTGTACTTCCTATAACTATTTAATGGATAAATCATTATCTAATTTAAGTTCCCCTTAAAATAGCCAATTATAAATTTTGTAGTTGGATTATTACCATGTACTTTGTTTAAATAAGGTACACGGTAGCAATTCCGCTTATAACAGAAACAGAACTATAATGTTAGTGACTATGAAAATTAAACACAATTTTAAAGTTATGTAAAGTAATACAGTCATATTTTTAAGAATGGACTCTTATTAACACAATAACTTATTTGTCAAATATAAATACTATAACAACGTTCTAATAACTAATTATATTTTTTTTAAGTGATAAGACCGGGATCAAAGTTCCTTCGTAGTTTTTACAGAAACCCAATTTATTTTAATTTTTATTAATATAATTTATTTGTGCTATTTAGTTCGATTATTTGTTGCCTTTTTCACGTATAGATAAAATCCTGTTGCTGCAGAAAATTCGTGATTTTTAATAAAAAAAAATCAATAATACACACCTTCCTTAACACATTAAGACTAAGGTTCACAATTTACTAAAATACCGAAGAGGGCGAAATACGTGAAAATATCTAAAATCTAATGGGGAAAGATCAGAGCTATACGGTGGATGCATAAACACTTATAAATCTCATAATTTTTACTAGGTGGTTTAAGATGTGTGTGTGTTATTTTCATTATTATCATGATGAAAGACCACATTTTCTTGTTTGAGTCACATCAGCTGTTGGCAGAAGAAGGTCCTGATTAATGGATTTTCTAAAAGTAAATACTCATAATTAAAGATAACCTTCCAATCCCACAATACATACCCACAGCATCACCTTATTACCTGTTAACATGGGGTTTGCAGCAATCTGTGGTGTGGAGCTTGATCAATCTTTGGCCAAGCATTTCGCACGTGCTTGTCGTACGTATAGGTCATCCACATTTCATCACCGGTAACCAACCGGTTACCGTTCAAAAATATGTCGATTCATTATCTTTCGCAGTAGTGAATCGTAAATGAGCACACGGTTTTATTAAGTTTCTTTATGTAAGTTCTTGTGACAGCCAAATATGTAGCTAGGCTTTTTTAAATGTATCAAAACTGGTTTTTGTTGATTCCCAGTTCCTCAGTCTATTATTATCTATTATAATATGATTTTTATAATGTTAATCTATATCATGATTCATAAAAATTAAAATAAATTGCTAGATGCAATTTTTACTATTTAGTATCTACCTGGTAAACTTTATTTTTAACCGACTTCAAACCAAAAAGGAGGACGTTCGATATTCGTAGTGTATATATATATCTTTATGCAAGAGATATAATAAAGCAAACCCTTTTCTTAACACAACCTTTTCCTAATACCCGAAAGAAACAAATGGTTATTAACTAATGTACTTATACAGGAATTTCTCACTAAATATAAAATTTCATGTTAATTAAACTGGGTTTCTATTATTACTTTGCAGTTATTCGCCAGAATCAGAGACGAAAAGCCCCATGTTATGAAGAAACTGATTCCTGTGACCGGTGACATAGTTTACGACGACCTTGGCATAGAGAGGAACACGCTGCAGCAGATATGTGATGAGGTAACGTAAAGTGACATCACAACACGTAAATTAAATTGTAACAGCTCGCATAACACGACCTATGGAATTTTCGAAACATATTTTAGAAACGGCTCTGCTATTGGTACACCGCCGGGGACCGTGAGAGGTGCGGGCGGCAGGCACATTCTTGTCAAAATTACAAGCGCCCGCGGCGCCGCCTGCACCTCTCATGGTCCCCGTTCCCGGCCCCCCGACACTCTTTACCCCGCAGGCGAGGACTCAGTTAAGCAGTTTACCTATAGCTAATAAAATGTCTTTGGCAATGTATAGATGAGATATATGTTATTATGTAATTTCTAAAAGTTGCTGTTCTATTACAATACAAGGTAATATTCGTTTGAGTTCCATGTTATAATTTGTCTTAGGTATAAATTAACAAAGTTCATCGACCTTTGGAATATTGGAAAATGCACATTGTGGAAAAGCGAAAGTTTTATGCGTTTTGAAGGGAAACCAGAGTTGAAGGAGCTCGATGGCGCAAGTGGTTAGCGCGTTCGACTGCGATAATTGAAACTAAGCAACTTTCGCAGTGGTCGGTCATTGGATGGGTGATCAAAAATTTTCTTCCTGGCTGCATCTGCGTGACCCAATCTCCCTATTCCATCTATAGGAAAAACCTTTGCCCTAGCAGTGGGGACATTAATAGGCTGATGATGATGATGATGCATATTTTGATAACGGCTTTGCTAGGTTGAATGTGTCTTGAAATGTTTAGATTGTTGTTGTGTAATTTATAAAAGTTGCTGTTTTATTACAAGGCAATATTCGCTTGATTTCTATATAAATTGACTAAGGTATTAATTACATAAATTCATCGACCTTTGGAATTCTCGAAACACATTTTGAAAACCGACTTTGCTAGCGCAAATGTGTTTTGAAATGTTTAGATTGGTGCTTGTGTAATTTTTATAGTTGCTGTTCTATTTTCATAACAAGGTTGTATTCGTTTGGATTCTATCGATTTTACATAGTTAAAATTACTAATGTTTATACTAGAACAGTGGGTAAAAGGTTAGTTTACTCTTATTGTGGCAGTCACTTAAAGCATCAGTAAGTTTATGAGGCCAAATAATTTGAATAATATTACCATCTTCAGTAATAGCGACTAGCCTTAAGCTTTGAGACAAGCTAGGATCTGTGCATTTTTCCGTGGTGAAGTGGCCAACTGTGCCGGCTCCAGTCTGGTGCCGTGAAATAATGGCGTGAATTCGCACCGAGAATTCACAATTAGTGGTGATGATTCCAAACTCTGAAGTCGCGAAAACCATCCACATTCACGCCTGTTGACGGAGCTTCACGGCATAAGCATAGAGCCTGCGTAATATAGTTATATTGTTCTCTGATAGTCTGTCTGTTTACTGTGATAAATCGTTAAGTGAGTAGTTTTTAGGATCTTACGGCATTTACGGCTTTCACTAATCAAACTTTGCTTTAACTTTTGAGTTTTGTTGTCAAGATGAAATTAAATAATATAAATTTGTTATTTTTATTATGTATTAAATTTTATATGAAAAAAGTTTTCTTTTGTTTTATTATTTAGTTAGGTTACAATAACAACTGTTGCTAAGAAATAGAACAAGATCATCCATAGCTTTTACAGGTTGATCACTGAAAGTGGCCGTAAGCGAGCTTAATATCTACTTACGGAATATGTAAAACCAGGTTCAATTTGTTGAAGGTGTCCGTGGTATTCCACTTCGCCGCCAGCCTGCGATTGGAGGCTCCACTTAAGGAAGGCTTGGAGATGAATACGAAAGGCACACTGCGAGTATTGGCTGTTGCCAAGAAAATAAAGAACCTAGCCGCCTTCATTCATCTCTCAACAGCATTCTGCTATCCAGACTACGAAAGGATGGCAGAAAGGGTAACTACATATATCTAGCATTACTAAAAACATGATAAATATAAATTTAACTGTATAAAGCTCAATGTACTTATTTACTTTTTACATTGCCACTTCTTTCGTTCATATTTATCATGTCGCATTACATTTTAATTGTTATTAAGAATTAGACGTTAACAACAAACATCGATGGTTCAGTTGCAGAAAGTTGGCCTACTATGCGAGCGGCCTGGATTCGATTCCTAGCCAAGGAATAACTTTTTTGAAGTAACACTTCTATTCGGACGGTGTGTAAATGGAAAAATCCTATGGAAAAGATGAAATAGAAATGCGTCACGAGCGTCAGACGACTCTTTAAACTCCTAAATTATATGTGTGTGTGTGTGTATGTGTATGTGCATGTGTGTGTGTGTATGTGTATGTGCGTGTGTGTGTGTGTGTATATGGGAATGCCTGCACAGCTCTTCCCTACGAGCATGAAAGTTGGAGGGTAACTCGGCGAAGGCTGAAACGCTACGAGCGTCACGAGCGTCGCACGCGACAATATACATATATATATGAGTGATGCGTGCGCTGCTCCATTCCCCTATGTCTTATGCATCGTCTAATGTTTGGTTATTTAAGAACAGAAGCCAAATATTTTTTGAGGGGATGTAAAACGCTTTAAAATTTTCACTTGCATCGTGGTTTCATAAACCACATCCATGTTTTCATTTTACCTGACGTTTCCATAAAGGTATAAGAATAGAGTAGGAAAGGTGGCTTTTAAAGTGTTCGTCTAGTAGAAAGAGAAAGAAGATGAGAGACGGCTAGCCTTTCTCTCTCTAATCGCGAATGCGCCAATGCAATCCAATGATAAAAAAACCTACCGATGAATACCGACCAATCACGACTGCGCAACGTCACAAGAAAGAGAGAGATAGCTAGCCGTCCTTCATCTTCTTTCTCTTTCTACTAGACGGACACTTCCACTAGTAGTAGAGTACATATCTAGAATAGAATTCTAGAATAGAATCGGAAATGTCCATAGAGGTATAAGAATAGAGTCTATGGCGTACTGGCTCCGTGGTCTTGCGACCGTTCAAAAAGTGTTATATTAAATGATTGTTGTACATGAAATTCCATATTCTTGCTAGTCCTTATTTTTCCTATAATTAAATGACGTTCTTATGACGTGGCATAGCGGATTTCCCATTTTATTTCATATATTTTTTATAACTACCGACAGACTGGTTCGTAGTTCGTTTTTTGCACGTTAATAAATTACTCTGAGTGTTCTTACAACAACAAATAAAATAAGTACTATAAATCTCTAAAAAATCTTATTGAGATTATAACCTTTTGGTGTTATTTTGTTTCTGTTGGTGATAAATTTAAAAGGCTCATGCAATAGTCATCAATAACTTCTTTTTTGCATATTACAATCGATAGTAATACTTTCAGTGTCACCAATAACAGATGATGAAGACTATATACCCTTAGACCCTTAGACCCTTAGACCTGAAACTTTTTTTGTTGTAAATTTTCCTAACACAAAGGCATGAGATTTACAATTCATACAGCCTTGCCGTATCACTTTTTTTTCAACTTTCATGCAATTCCCAAAAATACTTATTTTTCTTTTTTTAGTCTGTTTTTTTTTAATCTAACGCCACACACATCTGCTGTAGATTGCTTATTGTTACTTATATTTTATTAATTGTATTATCTGTTTGTAGTCGCTTGATATTGTTAGCTTTTGCTTTTTTGTTCTGCTTAGCTTAGATTGTATTTAACATTGACTGCCTATGGGTAATTGAAATGTATACCAATTGAGTAGTTTTTTTTTGTGTTGTATTTATCTATGTACTATGAATATTTCAATTAATTCTGATATATTTCATTCTTGCTCCTCTCAATCCAGTCTTGAGGATTGTATTCATAGTGATGACTCTGCGTCCCTTGATGAACTTCTGCAAGATACTTTTGGTGATTTACCCAAAAATTTGAACGTAATCCACATAAACGCCCAAAGTATCCCTGCACATTATGCTGAATTATATACTTATTTAGTCCATAATAATATTCATGCGATTTTAGTATCTGAGACTTGGTTACATCCTTCTATTCCTTCTTCTTCTTACTCGCTTCCGGGTTATCATTTGATCCGTAATGACCGTGGTAGCTCTTCTCATGGAGGGGTAGCAATTTATCTCCGCGCACATCTTTCTTTCACTGTATTAAGTCAATCATCCCAACCTCCTCCGCAGGATTCTGCTGAACATCTCTTCATTGAGGTCAACTTAGTCCACAATAAGGTTCTTCTAGGTGTTTTATACAGCCCATCTTCTAAAATTGATTATTTTCATTCATTCGAGCTTCTCCTTGAAGATTTTTCTCATAATTATACTCATTCAATTATAATGGGCGACTTTAACACCTGTCTGATTAAAAATGATTCCCGATGCAAAGAGTTACGTTCGGTAATTAATTCTTGTAATATGCATATTCTTCCTCTCTCTGCGACGCATAAATTTCCAAACTGCACCCCTTCTCTGCTAGACCTTATAATGGTATCATCTCCCGACCATGTTGTGAAACATGGTCAATTACCTGCCTATCAGTTTTCCTATCACGATTTAATTTATTTATCGTATCGAATCCGTCCCCCTAAACGTAAGGCGTCAATCCAACTATTGCGTAATTTTAGTGCAATGGATATCGATATTCTGCGAGAAGATGCTCGTAAAGTTAATTGGTCGGCAATTGATGATCTCAACAGTATTGATGAACAAATAGAGTTATTTAATTCCTTACTGATACGTTTAATGGATATTCACGCTCCCGTGCGACCTGTACGCGTCAGGCATGTTCCTGCTCCTTGGCTTACGGAGGACATACGCACAATAATAGAAAAAAAGACCCGCGCAAAAACAAAATTCAAAAATAATCCAACAGATGCCAATCGTTCCAGATATAGGGAAATAAGGAATCGCTGCAATACATTGATTAGGAATAAACAAAGACGCCACATTCATACGTCTGTCGAAAATGGTGACTCCGCCAAAGTTTGGCGCTTTCTCAATAAGCTTGGTATTGGCAAAGCTAAACGCAACTCTACCTCTCCTTCAAATTGTGATATCAATGCTTTAAATGCTCACTTTTCCTTATCTGCGTCCATGGATGGAATAATCAAAAGTCATACTTTGAATACGCTTTCTTCGTCGCCAACACCATCTTTTACTCCTTTTATCATAAAGCAATTTACTGAGTGTGACGTTGAGAGGAACATCATTGCTGTATCGTCCAATGCCGTGGGTAGCGACTGCATTAGTCGTAATATGATCATTCCTCTTCTAGATATCCTAACTCCTGTAATTACTAAAATCCTTAATAAATCCATTTCGTCATCTGTTTATCCTTCAGCATGGAAAGAATCTAATATTATTCCCATACCTAAGAAATCCAAGCCTGATTCCTTCAATGATTATCGCCCTATTTCAATATTGCCTTTCCTTTCCAAAGTCCTCGAAATATTAGTCCATCAACAGTTAAGTAGATTCCTTTCCATGAACAATCTTCTAAATCCATTTCAATCTGGTTTCCGTCCCGGTCATAGTACGACTACTGCACTTGTCAAGATCGCAGATGATATACGTGTGGGTATGGAAAATCGGCAGCTCACTGTATTAACGCTGTTAGATTTTAGTAACGCATTTAATATGGTTGATTTTGATATTTTATTGGCAATGTTGGTTTCTCTCAATGTATCTCCACCAGTGATTGATTGGTTTCATAGTTACCTGCATGGGAGACGGCAGCGCATATGGATGGATATTTTTCATCATGGTGCGACACAACAGCCGGCGTACCGCAGGGTGGCGTTATGTCTCCTCTTCTCTTTTCTATTTTCATAAATTCAATAACTCTTCCTCTCTCTTCTTCCTATCATATGTATGCAGACGATCTCCAAATATATACACAAACTTCTTCAGATGAACTTCCTACAGCCATCGCAGTTACCAACAACGACCTGGAACACATATATGACTGGAGTCGGCGACACGGTCTGTTGGTTAACCCGCGCAAAACTCAGGCTATAATTATTGGAAGCCATTGGTATAATGCTCGAATTAATAAAAGCGCTTTGCCACCGATCCTGTTAAACGGCATCCCTATACCACTTCAGGACACTGTAAAAAATCTTGGCGTGTTGTTCGACAATAACTTGTCTTGGAACCACCATGTCGGTGAAGTTAGTAGGAGGGTATTTGGCGCGTATGGCTCGCTGAAACGCCTGAAAAACATGTTGCCGACCAAGACTAAAATTTCTCTTGCGCAGTCCCTTCTTCTTCCGTTGCTTGACTATGCCGATGCGTGTTACTCTGACCTTAGTGTTGTTCTTCTTAATAAACTCGAGCGTCTGCAGAATTTATGCATTCGATTCATTTTCGGTCTACGTAAGTACGACCATATTTCTCATTATCGTTCCCAACTTCAATGGCTACCCATTTCTCGTAGAAGAGACTGTCACATCCTATCACTCCTTTATTCTATCCTCTTTCATCCGCACACTCCTCTCTATCTTAAGGAGCGTTTCGCATTTCACTCTTTTAATCCTGTCCGTGATCTTCGGTCTTCTCATAACTTATCCTTAGTTATCCCACCCCACGCCACTGATTTCGTGGCCAAGTCATTTTATGTAAGAGCTGTTAAACTGTGGAACGCTTTGCCTTTGGATATTAAACGTGCACAGACGAGGGACTCCTTTACTATTAAAATTAAGGAATATTTCCTCAAGCTGGACTCTGCCTGATCTTTTTATCTGTTTATTACTATTTATTGTATTTTATAGCTTCCTTACATACTTACTATATTGTATATTATTATATTTATGTTTATTTATTTATTTTTACAATGCACTAGCCCGCTGATTCCACTATTCTTATGGTATGGTTTCATTTAGCCAAAGGTTGCCTGGTAGAGATTGCTACCTTAGCAATAAGGCCGCCTTTTGTGTTTTTGTTTCTGTGTTTTATGTTCTCTGTATTGTGTGTAATAGTGCAATAAAGAATATATTCATTCATTCATTATATTCATATACTAATTACATTAACCTACAATAATGAAAATCTCCCAATACAGGTACATGATCCGCCAACGAATCCACATGAAGTTCTGAGAGCTGCGAGTTGGCTGACAGATGATCAGTTAAACTTGTTGGCACCATCCGTCCTTCAGAAGCATCCGAACTCATACACCTACTCCAAGAGACTAGCCGAAGCTTTAGTCAGAGAATGTTACCCTGAATTACCAGCAGCTGTTGTGAGACCGAGTATAGGTGAGTACCTTCGTTAACCGATTCACGAAAAAGTTTTGGCCATCCCAATCAAAAATTCAAAATTTAGCAAGAAATTTTGAAAATTATGTATCGCAAGCTTGTTGATTTCCTACAATAAATCAAGTGTTTGATTTGAGCTTATGAAACGGCATATAAATGAATCCTTTATTCCTAGCGTTTAGTGTCATTCATCGAAAAAAACGCAAACATTATTTGATATAAAACAGTAAAGGACATCGACGAAATCGGCCCTAGCACGCCCAAAAGAATGTCCTTCACTATTATTTTTCTATTATTTTTTTAATTTATTAGCAATTAATCATAGAAAACGGACAATCTGTTTAAAAAAATAAAAGTTCTGTTACTATATACTACAGTCTGTTTATCTTAACTTGTCCTATTTGGTAAACAATCTTGGCACTCCTTTTTATTAAAAATACAGCATTAAAAATCAAGTGATAACTGGATTCAATAGGTTTCAGTCTATAATAACGATTTATTTTCTTAGTTTATTAATAATAATAATAATAATATAATAATAACATTTATTTCAGATTATTCATCCATATTGGTTATTGGCTTCGTTATAATTTTATTTTTAAATAGGTGACTTTGTTAAAAAGTTTTGCCAAGATTGTTTACCTTAATAAATGCAATATAGGCGACCATAGGTATTTATCAATATATTCTTATAGAACTAGGTACTTTAGTGAATCGTACCTAATAACAAGTAAAGTACCTAAATCAATATTTATCACTAGTATTTATATTTTATTTATAAAAAGATTATTTCTGAAATTATGTCAAGATAGTTCATATTCCCATCCCATATAATATCTGTTTATTTTTATGAAAATCATAATGATAACCAGGTACATACCGATATTAAAATATAGAAACAGGTAAATGGAAAGACTTTGAACATTTCATTTGAAAAGAAATCTATTATTACAACACGTATCATAGGTGCCAACACCCATAAATCAATATGAATATAAGCATTTATTATTTTTAATATTATTTGCATTTTATATTCATTTAATGCATATTATATAAGCGTTTACATAGAGGTAAATACTAAATCTATTCTGAATACATAAAGTGTGCATCTTTTACGATTAAGTATAATAATTATAACCTCCAAATCTAATACATTCTATAAAAGGCCACGGTTCCTCAAGTTGTCCGTATCTCAACAAATGCCTTACTAGAGTTTATGAAAGATTCCGAACAAAACTAGCATTTTCTTATTGCTGTGCGTTCTGGGGCATTCAATGTATGGGGAACAAGCAATGTCCTTTACAAATCTAAAAACCCGAATGCTGGAAAATTAAGTTTAAATAAAAACTGAAAAGGTCGAAACTATTCCATTAGTCCAGAATTCTGCTAGATACAAAGCTACTTTATGAATCGGGACCTATTATTGGGAAATTTTTATTCATTCTAGAATATTTAATGGGTCCTGTTCGCAGTCAGGTAAAAAATAAATAAATGATTACTTCAATACAGTGTTGTTTTGATCTGGATTTAGCTCAAGTGTAATTAAGAACATTAATTAAATTTATTTATTGTTTTCTTTTCTTCTCATTTAATAATATGAGTAGAATACAATGTATGAAGCGGAATTTTAGAGATCGCTTCATGATGGGGTCAGGTGAGTTGAAAATCGATGTGGAGAGAAAAGGGAGAGGATGGCAAAGCGAATAGGTGGAAAAGAGCAAGAGAACTTAGGGAAAAAAGTGTAGGGTTCGGAGATAAGGATGAGAAGGAGAGGGTTTGATTGGTGTGTACAAATTTAATAGTCTAGGATCTTGCACTAGAACAAACTTGCAAAATCTGCTGAAAGTCGTAGGAAGCCGATGAATGTGAGTGGCGCAGGATCGATCGGTGTGGAGATCCTTGTGGGAGACCTATATAGTGAGCGTAGTACGGCTGAGATGATGTTGATGAGGATCTTATAAATTGGTTATCTGTTTTAGTGACACCTTCGTACAAAGAGCCTATGGAGGGGTGGGTGGACAACCTTAATGGCCCCATCGGCCTGATGATAGGAGCGGGCAAGGGTGTGATACGCTCCATGCACTGCTACGGCCATTACCACGCTGAGGTCATCCCCGTTGACATCGCCATCAACAGTATCATCGTTATTGCCTATAAAATTGGCACAATGACTGAAAGGTAACATTTTAAACATGTTCTTATATTAAAATATTATTTTTAGTACTAATATGATCGAAACCTTAAGAATAATGTAAGAATAACATTAACATAAAATTTAATTTGAGACTTTAAAACAAGTTCCTTTTTCAAAAAGACTGAACATGACTTTTCCGTTTCGTTTGTCAACAATCACTATGCTTATTAAAAACGGTAAACTTGTTTTTTTTAATGGGTGATATGGTGGGCTGCTGTTGTCCGAAATTAATATTTTTTTATTTTAATTTTATTTATTTAATGCACCGCATTAAATTTTATTAATGTTATTTTGTAAACAATTGGTGCGCAACTTTATTATCTATATGTTACATACCATTCTCTTTTAAAATCGATACTAACACATGACTGTATATGCAAGTTCTATTGCATTTCTATTATATATGTAGTTAGATTTAATATCTCAAGAAAGATAGATAGGTCTAAAGAAAATATAACTAGAAAAAAAAATTCCACGCGGACCAGGCAGCAGACGGGACTCGAACCCGCACCCTTCGCAATCCGGGCGAATGCACTGACCAATTATGCTACCGCGGCCCTCACGGACCGCGTCGAAATTCTCTCTAGCTATTCTTAAGCTGCAAGGCAGCGCCATCTCTTCGCATTATAGGTAAACCCACAATGTCAAATGAATACTTTTACAAGTATTAAACATTTGAAAGAAGAAATAGCAATTATAGTTATAATTTTTATTATTTTTAAAGCATGTAACTGCTTGATGTTTAAATCTAAAGAAAATATAACTAGAAAAAATTCCACGCGGACCAGGCAGCAGACGGGACTCGAACCCGCACCCTTCGCAATCCGGGCGAATGCACTGACCAATTATGCTACCGCGGCCCTCACGGACCGCGTCGAAATTCTCTCTAGCTATTCTTAAGCTGCAAGGCAGCGCCATCTCTTCGCATTATAGGTAAACCCACAATGTCAAATGAATACTTTTACAAGTATTAAACATTTGAAAGAAGAAATAGCAATTATAGTTATAATTTTTATTATTTTTAAAGCATGTAACTGCTTGATGTTTAAATCTAAAGAAAATATAACTAGAAAAAATTCCACGCGGACCAGGCAGCAGACGGGACTCGAACCCGCACCCTTCGCAATCCGGGCGAATGCACTGACCAATTATGCTACCGCGGCCCTCACGCACCGCGTCGAAATTCTCTCTAGCTATTCTTAAGCTGCAAGGCAGCGCCATCTCTTCGCATTATAGGTAAACCCACAATGTCAAATGAATACTTTTACAAGTATTAAACATTTGAAAGAAGAAATAGCAATTATAGTTATAATTTTTATTTTTTAGGAATTTTTTCTAGTTATATTTTCTTTAGATTTAAACATCAAGCAGTTACATGCTTTAAAAATAATAAAAATTATAACTATAATTGCTATTTCTTCTTTCAAATGTTTAATACTTGTAAAAGTATTCATTTGACATTGTGGGTTTACCTATAATGCGAAGAGATGGCGCTGCCTTGCAGCTTAAGAATAGCTAGAGAGAATTTCGACGCGGTCCGTGAGGGCCGCGGTAGCATAATTGGTCAGTGCATTCGCCCGGATTGCGAAGGGTGCGGGTTCGAGTCCCGTCTGCTGCCTGGTCCGCGTGGAATTTTTTCTAGTTATATTTTCTTTAGATTTAAACATCAAGCAGTTACATGCTTTAAAAATAATAAAAATTATAACTATAATTGCTATTTCTTCTTTTAAATGTTTAATACTTGTAAAAGTATTCATTTGACATTGTGGGTTTACCTATAATGCGAAGAGATGGCGCTGCCTTGCAGCTTAAGAATAGCTAGAGAGAATTTCGACGCGGTCCGTGAGGGCCGCGGTAGCATAATTGGTCAGTGCATTCGCCCGGATTGCGAAGGGTGCGGGTTCGAGTCCCGTCTGCTGCCTGGTCCGCGTGGAATTTTTTCTAGTTATATTTTCTTTAAATTTAAACATCAAGCAGTTACATGCTTTAAAAATAATAAAAATTATAACTATAATTGCTATTTCTTCTTTCAAATGTTTAATACTTGTAAAAGTATTCATTTGACATTGTGGGTTTACCTATAATGCGAAGAGATGGCGCTGCCTTGCAGCTTAAGAATAGCTAGAGAGAATTTCGACGCGGTCCGTGAGGGCCGCGGTAGCATAATTGGTCAGTGCATTCGCCCGGATTGCGAAGGGTGCGGGTTCGAGTCCCGTCTGCTGCCTGGTCCGCGTGGAATTTTTTCTAGTTATATTTTCTTTAGATTTAAACATCAAGCAGTTACATTCTTTAAAAATAATAAAAATTATAAGATAGATAGGTAATAAAAAAAATTGTAGGATCGCCATACATTTACAGAAATTAAAGGTAATTAATAAATCTAATCATCATCATCATCAGCCTATTAATGTCCCCACTGCTGGGGCACAGGCCTTCCCTATGGATGGAATAGGGAGATTGGGCCTTGACCCACCACGCGGGCCTAGTGCGGGTTGGTGGGTGCTAACGTCTGCAAATACAGCCGGGACCAACGGCTTAACGTGCCTTCCGAAGCACGGAGGAGCGCGAGATAGTAAATTTTTGGTCACCCATCCAATGACCGACCACTGCGAAAGTTGCTTAACTTCAACGATCGCAGCCGAACGCGCTAGCCACCTGCGCTATCGAGCTCCTCAATAAATCTAATAATAATTGAATATTAAAAATCTTGTTTGCCTTATAAAGTATACCGCAACGATACAAAATGACTACAGCTCAGTGATTCTCTTACTCAGGGGCACCTCGCGCACTGACAGCTACGACCACGACCAGTTGCCGCAACGACCAGATTAACCAAAGTTGACAGTTGCGGCCAAGTGCGTGTCGTTCGTATGATTTCTTTAGTCAATCTGGTCGTTGCGGCCACTGGCCGTTGTCGTGGCCGTCTAGTGCGCGAGGTGCCTAAAGCACTGATTTTCAGCTCGAACCAAGTATGCATAAAACAGTTCTAGTGCGAAAGCAATTGCATTTTTACATACAGCGAAGGTTGTTGATTCGATTTCAGCTTGGTACCTCATTATTATCAGCCTAATAATGCCCCCACTGCAGAGGCACATGCCTTCCCTATGGATGGATTAGGGAGGTGGGGCCGTGACCCAAAACGTGGGCCCAGTGTGGATTGGTGGGTGCTAACAATTGCAAACACAGCCGGAACCGACGGCTTGACGTGCCTTCCGAAGCACGGAGGAGCTCGAGATATAAAGATTTTGGTCACTCATCTAGTGACGGATGATTACGAAAGTGCGAAGGCTCTAACCATTTGAATCATTTGTAGTAAAAAAAAACTTTAAAATTATACCATTTGCTCTTCAGGAAACCAGAGATACCAGTTTACAATCTGACAACAGGAGACGATAGAAACACAACTTGGAAGACAGTTCTGGACATTGGCAAGGCGACGATCCGTAAATACCCCTTTGAAGGACCCCTGTGGTACCCAGATGGGAACATTCGGCACAACAAGCTCATACACAAACTCTGTGTGTTCTTCTATCACATCGTGCCCGCCTACCTGATAGATTTTTTGATGCTCATCTTTAGACAGAAAAGATTGTAAGTTATAGTTTCACATATTCGTTGAGGCATTAACAGCATTGTAGAGAGGGATGATGACGGGGTGAAAACGAACTTCTGTTAAGTCTGTCAGTTAGGTTATCAAAAAACAATGAACACTTACTTTTCTTTTGTCGATCAACCAAAAAATGACAAAGTATAAAGCGCTTCAAAGTTTGGGAGTGGGGTCTTCTGACGTCACTTTTTAGTAAAAATTGTATGAAAACGTGATAATTCAAATCATATCTCTGTAATGTTTTACATAATGAAAACATTACTAGTCATGGCTGTCTATGGAGCATGGACAGAAGTATGGAAGAAAATGCTGCACGCGAAAATAATGCTCTACGCGAACCCTTTAAAGATTAGTAGGTGTAATGAAATCATCAAATCATATTTAATGTACACCCATCTGAATTTGATCCGATTTAAATTGACACCGGAAATATTACTGGTAGATTGCAAGCACATCATATAATTTAGTTCTCGTCCATTGATACACTTTTACCATCTGCAGCGGAAACTTCACAACTGCTGTTTTTCTTAAACTAAAAAATAAGTTATGTTATCATGTAATGTAACGTTTTCACTTAGTGCTCAGAACAATTTTGAGCGAGCAAACATTTGCTCGCTGTGAATGGAAACACCAGTACCCTTAGTACGAGTTTTACAATTACGAAAACTATGATAGTTTTCATAAGCTTGCACTCGTTGATTTTATTGTTTCTGTTTCAATAGAAATAAACAGTGTTTTAATTCTATCATTAAATCATTTGCATCTTCTTAAATTTTAAGTATATTTGGTTACCAAAATGGACATAGAAACATAATTTACAGTGAGTGCAAACTCGTACTAAGGGTACAAAGCGATTGGACGAGTTAGTTCAACGATGTTTGACTGGACTCTGTGAATGAATGCTTTTGTGCTCAATCATCAATGGACACAACGCAACGGCGATTGAACTCTTGCACCAAGCATTCCATTTACCGAGCGAATAAATGTTTATTCAGTCTGAACTGAACTGTTCTGAGCTTAAGTGGAACGCAGCATAAGAAACAACACATTCCTCAATTTCCACGCCATATTTCATAACGTAATTCAGGTATTTCCAAAATTGTCATTAAAGAAATATTTCTAACATACACCAATTAGCCTAGCCTCAAAGTAAGCACTGAAAGTTTTGTGTTATGAGATACAAGGGTAGCGTATACAATAAATATACTTATACAAATAAGTATATTTTATCTAGAAATACATATAAACATCCATGACAGGTACAAATAAACTCGTATTCATTATACAAACATTTGCTCCATCGTAATTTGAACCTGAACCTCTGAGTAGGCGACTACCTTGAAAACCCGGCGTTCATACCACTCGGCCACGGAGGTCGTGGAGATTGGTTTTGTCCTACAATAGCCATGAATTGGTGATCATTTTACTGTTTATCTTTACAGCATGGTCCGTATACAAAACAGAATCACCGTCGGTCTGGAAGTGCTCCAATATTTCACAACTAGAGAATGGTGGTTTGACACGCACAACTTTAAGGCTATAGCGCCGACATTAAACGATGTTGACCTGAAAACTTTCCCGATGGACTTGAGCATAATTGAGGACGAGCCGTACATAGAAGCCTGTATGTTAGGAGGCAAACAATACTGCCTCAAAGAAAAGCTGGAGAATTTGCCCAAAGCTAGACTTCAAAATAACATGTGAGTTTGAAAGCTGTGTACTATACTTCCGTTGAACCAAAAGTTAAACAAACAAACTAATGTTTCCAAATCTGTTTTATCCAGACTAAAGATGGCCGGTGTAACCAGACTAACAACAAAATTTCACATTTCAATGTAAATTATTTCCTTTAACACTACTCTTCAATATAATAGTACTATAATACATTCAAAGTTTGGGAATAGGTACATTTTAGCTCTCTTTAATCTCACTTTTCTATTAGTTATGATATTTATGTGTATAAAATTCGATTTATTGAAAACTTTTAGTTCAAAGGAAAAAACGGAAGTTGAATAGACTATAAGTATTTTCCTCTTTGTTATTTCAAAACCGTGCCAAAGGAGTTGATAACTCGCTTACCAGCTTGCTGTAAAGTGACCTCTGTGATCACTGAGACAAATCTAAATTTAATAATTTCATTAATAATAACAACGATAAGCTTATCAGCTTTTGCTTCAAATTGTATACTGGAAACTACATTGAGAGTCACTAAGGCTAATTTGTATATAATAATTTTGTATTATAACCAAAATTCTCTTATATTTCAGCCTCTACATTTTGGATCGCATTGTATCAGTGTGTTTTTACCTGCTTCTGCTCTCCTGGATCGCTTATTTTTTCGAGCCAGTGAGAAACGTATTAGAATATGGAGGCCCTGTCATAAGGCATCTTCCCTTCGTTGGCAAAACCGTCTTCAGAGACGAATTGTAATATACTTATATGTAAGAAATAAATGGGTGCATTCCAAAGAGAATTGGATATTAATAATAAATGTAAATATCTTTTAAATTCTGGTAATGTTAGATATTAATTACTTTACATATTTACATTTTCTAGTAACATGTAAAAAGTAAGATAGTTTGTAACTACATGCTACAATTACTCGATAATATAACGAATTTTAAGTAACCCAAGTGTTTAATAACTAGTACTTATCACTTTTTATAACAATTATGAAGCGTTTTATAAACACATCAAAGGTTGGGTAGACTTTATAGATAAATGTATATAAATAAAGGTGTATGCATTTGAAATGGTTTAATTTTATACTTTACCTTCAATTTCAAATAAGAATCATAGCCTCATCTTTTATTACGTAACAAATTTAAATCGTATTTTATTCACATAAGGAGTAAAAAAATAGGCGATACTTTTTCAGTTATTTTATAGCGGAAAATGTCTTTGTGTGAAAATTCAATTTTAATTTTATTGCAAAATTTTAAGTAACTTACCGTTTTCTTTCTCATTTCCGTTTAAACTTTACGATATCAAAGTATGTAAGTAATTACTTTCCGTGTCTTTCGTCAAATATAGCACCTAAGATATCTACGTCGTGTTCGCATATGAAGAAGGCTTTTGTACAGCAGCTTATGTCATTCAATGATCCTTCATAGAACATTGAACCGCATGTCTCCCTTGCACCACCGTCAGGTTGCATGTATCCCCATTTAGCGCAACAACTATTTTGTAGTGGAACTCCTGCAGACATATTTGATTATTATTATTCACAAATTCAGTATTCAACAATAAAGCAAAAAAGTACAACAGTAGGTAGTCTTAAAAGTCGTGTCATAAATTAGGTCAATACTTAGATGTCGTGTCTATGATATTTTGGAATTAAAAAAGGAATGCTTCTTCCAAACCTGCGTGATGAAGCTTGGGTGGCTTTTAGTACAGTCAATCTGTAGGTTGAGTGGTGAAAAAAAACCTAAAGGGTAAGTCTTGTTTTTTCTGTTGCCAAATGACGTCAGTAAGCCACATTGGCGATGGGCATGTTCAACTCGTAGGCGTTTTTTGAAAAACTCAAAAAGAACCCTCAAAAAATTTTTGAAACTCATTTTTCTTGTTTTGTATGCATTTTAGAAACTTTTTTTTCGACCATAATTGTAGAGGGCGTTGAGTACTACAATTTATATCATTGTTGCAAACTCGTACAACAAAAAATGCACATTGTAGGTGGCGCTAAAGTCTCAAAAAAGTGTTTTTTACTTTTCCATCCTGAAAATATTATTTTAATGGAAAACTTTAAATAAAAAAGTTATTCCGTACATAATTACCAATAACTTTTGTATAAACAATTTTTTTTGTATTACTTACCGTTTTCAAGTTATAAATTGCGCAGGTATGAAAAATCCAATAGAGCGGTTTTGTACACTTTTTTGTGTAAAAAAATAGTATACGTTTTACTATTTTTTATTTTTTTTTTCATGATTGAATAAAAAATAGTATAAACGTACATTGAAATGTGCACTGCAAATGTGTACTTGAACTGCCCAAAAACCGCTCTATTGGATTTATCATACCTGCGCAATTTATAACTTGAAAACGGTAAGTAATACAAAAAAAAATGTTTATACAAAAGCTGTTGGTAATTATATACGGAACAACTTTTCCATTTAAAGTTTTCCATTAAAATGATATTTTCAGGATGAAGAAGTGAAAAAACACTTTTTTGAGACTTTAGCGCAACCTACAATGCGCATTTTTTGTTGTACGAGATTGCAACAATGACATAAATTGTAGTACTCAACGCCCTCTACAATTATGGTCGAAAAAAAAGTTTCTAAAATGCATACAAAACAAGAAAGATGCGTTTCAAAAAGTTTTTGAGGGTTTTTTTGAGTTTTTCAAAAAGCGCCTACGAGTTGAACATGCCCATCGCCAAGGTGGCTTACTGACGTCATTTGGCAACAGAAAAAACAAGACTTACCCTTTAGGTTTTTTTTTTCACTGAAACTATATTTTTTTCGACAGATTGACTGTACTATTTGGTACTAAATGCGTTAAAAATTGTGTTCGAAATTTGAATTACTTCTATCGTTATGATTTATCGAGCTGCGTTTAGACACTAGCTAGACGATAGCTTGACTGCAGATTTTTGACACGCATAAAGGAGGTTGTCGGCAGTTATAAATATGTACGAGGCATGTCCAGAAAGTAAGTGTACTGAATTTTTGTAGGGTACAAATTTTTTTAGTGAAACAAAAAAATTACATTGTTACCGTAGTACATTATGTAAGCTTTTTTTCGACATAGTCGCCATTCCTGTCAATGCAGATGGTGAAGCGGGGTATCAACTCTTTGATGCCTTCCTCGAAGTAGTTTCCCCCAACCCCTTCGGCCACCTCCTCCTTTACCTACCCGTCGGTTGAAAACCCTTTTCCACCCTGTGCAGCTTCAGGGAGGTAAAAAGATAATAATCTGAAGGAATTCATCTCCACGAAGTTTGCAGCTCCTCAAAAACTCTGGTCTGGATTTCACTCGACTTGTGTTGGTCTATCAGTTGTTTTGGGACCCACCTCGTGGACATTTTCTGATGTCCGAGGGTTTCTGTGATGGTTTCGTGAAGTAGAGATCTGGAGATTTGCGGAAACTTCCCAGAAAGTTCATCTACAGTAAATCTGCGAAAGTTACGGACCGTTGTTTCAATATTTTCCACAATTTCGTCAGTCTTCCGCTCCTCTGATCATCATGTACAGACGTACGACGTTTTGAAACTAGCGACACCACTTGTAAACACTCGTACGATTCTTAGCTATATCACCATATTCAGTTTTCACCTCATTATAAACCTCAACCGGAGGTTTTCCCTTCCAAACGAAATAACGGATGACGCCGCGTATTTCGCACTTGGCGGGAGATTGGATTGTCATTTTTTACGAAGTGTTGTCGCGTCGACACTTTCAACGTAATGACCTTGAACTGGTCTCTTTGCGGAGAAGAAGAGTCAGGCTACACGTAAGTGTAGTCAACATGTCGAAAATAAAATTCATTCGGTCATGCGAGCCTCAGTACACTTACTTTCTGGATACGCCTCGTATGTACATCTTAGCGCATTTTTGTACCAAATCTTCATCATGCAAGTGTGGGAGAAGCATAAGAGAAGGATGACAGTCACGATAATAATATCAAATGTCAACTCTAAGGCCCGTATTACAGAATGACAACTAAGTGTTGATCTTTACTTGAGTACAGTTAGAAAGGGATGTCGGTATGTGCTATATATAGCGACATCCCTTTCTAACTATGCTCAAAATCTTCTTCATTCATTACATTCATTCATTCATTGCTTCATTACTGAGAATCCTTCTATGATACGGGCCTAACACATGATTAGCTTTTATCTATACTAATATTATAATGAGGAAAGTTTTGATTGTTTGTTTGAATAGGTTCCGGAACCTTATTATATACTAAAGTTTTATAGAGGACATCAACATCTAAAAAAAAGTTCACGATACGATATGTCTGGCTATTACAGTAATGCCACAATAAGAAGACCCTATGGATTCTCCCACGTTAATTTGAGGAAAAAGGTTATACTGAGCCAAACTTACAAGAAAGAAATACTTTTTTATAGAACCTTTAAAGGGGAACAATTCCGTCATACATTATTTTTGTGTAATTTTATCCGTTTATCCAGTGCACGCAACGAAAGCTCATCAATGAAATATTTTTACTCGTTTTTGCGGATACCAAGAGCGAGAGAAAGTGATCGTAGATAGTAGTAATAAAACGTTTTGGCAGCCTACTGTGTTGCTGGCACAATCCCGCAGAATAGTGTTATTTTGGTATGGAGAATACTTATTTTCATAATCACTGTACTGTAGTAACAATTCTACAGAATTGCATAATCTAGTTGTCGAGAATATATTCCCATTCACTACACTGTAGGAACAACCAACCCTGTAGAATAACGAACGCGATCTAGTTGTCGAGAATGTGTAGTTTTTCAATCAGTTTATTGTAGAAACAATCCTGCATAATGTCGTTTTCAGTGCTTGATAATATTTTTTTAAAATGGTTGCACGAATCAGAATGGGAAATTTGTTAGTCTTATAAAATAAATAAATACCCACCTTTGATCGTTTTCCATCCTTCTCCATACCTATTATGAAAGCCCAGTAACACTGCGCCTCTAAGATAGTCGCCTAAAATATTATCCTTCGGAGCCTTATCGGTTAGTTCTTTAAGATATTCTGCTTCACCTGGGCTGTCTATCACTGCTAAATAGGACTGCTCAGCGTTGCATACAACGTAGGCATCAGCCCATGTACGAGGTTGCAAATGGAATTTGTAGCATTTTCCAAAAGCCTCATTGTAATTATAATCTAAAAGAAAAAGTGAAATTAGAACACATACAGTCATTCCATTTCTTTCCATCAGAGAAAGTCGTTTTCCTTTATCTCAGGCGGATTAGATCTTTAACGATAAATACTGAGCTTATTCTTATTGAACTAAGATATTATGCATAATTCCGATAGCTTCGAGAAAACACCGAAAAATTTTACTAAATTTTTATCGAAGAGATCTTGACTATTGTGGGATCGATTATCTATAAAAATTAATAAATAAAAAAGGTACTGTTTATGTTAAAAGAAGGGCCCGATTGATGCGAAACGGTTACTATATAACCTACGAAGCCTGCAATATTCAATAAATAAATAAATATTTCCAACACTCACACCAATTAACCTAGCCCCAAAGTAAGCACTGCAAGGCTTGTGTTATGGTATACTAGGGTAACGGATAGAATATATACACATACTGTACATGTGTAAGTATATTTATATAGAAAATACATACTAAACATCCATGACCGGAGTACAAATGCTCGTATTCATCACACAAACATCTGCCCCCCCGGGATTCGAACCCGGGACTTCTAGAGCTGGCGACACCATGAAACCCGGCGTAGAAATCACTTGGCAACGGAGGTCGTCATCGTTGTCATATATGAGATAAACATTTCGGCATTCCATACCCTGACCTTAGTTCATAACCCATGGAGTTTGGGAAACCTACCTACTGCTGGGGCGCAAGCTTTCCGCATGGACGGAGTAGGGAGAAAGGGTCGTGACTCACGGTACCCATCCTGTGGCCGGCCATTAAAAAAGTTGCTGAAATTCCACGATAAAATGCGCTTACCACTATGTGTGTGTCGTTAAATTTGTCTTGTCATATGGCAATTAAATTTATTATATTAACTTTTTTTTCATTTAGATGGTTAGGTTCAATGATGTAAATCTAAATTCAGTATTTGTATTTTTATTTTGTATGCATTTAACCGCTAGATGTTTAAATCTAAAGAAAATTTTACTAGAAAAAAATCTACGCGGACCAGGCAGCAGACGGGATAATTATCAGTATTTACCCAAATTTGGTATAAAACAGAACTGGTTCCATTCCAGCATGCTACGTTTCTTCTTACAAATGAAAGGATGTTTCTTGTCGCATCTGTCATCGTTCAGAAAGCCCGTGCGTAAGAAATTCACGCAGTCTTCTTGACCACCGTTGTCATTGGGTTCACCGGCATCCCATTTGCTGTACACGTCTGATATGGGATTTCCTGTAGACCAGGAAATATAAAGTAACAAGTATTTTCCGTAACTATTGAAGTCCAGAAATTTTGAGAAGAATACCTGTAAATATAATCGATCAATCAAATCGTCGAAGTTCTACACTGCCGTCCTCAAGCTAAAACGCGGCTAAATGACAAAACCAACTTTTGAGATATGGCCAAAAAAGGGCACGTAAACTTTAAATTATTGCTATTTTGTAACCAACCATTCAGCACATAACGGATTTTAGGACTTAAGCTGTAAAAGTTGCGAATACTTGTTTAAGACAGATCGATAGAGAATTAAAAAACTGTATAAGATGCAATTTAAGACTGAAAAATCGACCACTTGTCACTTAGCCGCACTTTTGTTTGAGGACGGCAGTACAGTGTGACAATCAATCACTATTAATTTAGATTATTATCTACTAACGAATTGATAATTATTTGTCAATGCAATAAAATTGATAGACCGAGTGTCTTATCAGGTAGGAGTTTATCCATCCATATTTACTAATTTAAATTAAAAATATCAATGTGACACGGTGTCTGTCAAAGATGTAGTTTGAATCCCGGAAGATAACAAATAACAGAGCTTATTTCAGAAAGCAGTCTTTAAGGGGGTGAAAGTTTGAAAATTGTACCACCCTGACGAATTAATGGGAGCTGCTCGTCTCTTTAAAGTGACAACCCTACAGTAACAAGCGCAACTCAGGAATTAGCTTCCTTCGAACATGGCCTCGCTAATGGTATAACCATAATAAATCTGTAGCGAGACCGGCTATATCCGCAACATTAGGGGTTGGAAATTAAAATGAATAATGAATTCCCAAGACGTATAAAAGAGCAATCACACAGACAGAAAATAAGGAATATATTACCCGCCTTACCTTATTCCCTCGAACGAATGTCCCTCAGTTCCAAGACACACTAGAAAACACGGCACAGTATTTTTGTGGTATTTCACAGGAGATCGCACGCGTAATAATTCATAAAATTATAGCTTTTCTAATCACATATCAAATATACGAAAATTCGTAAGACAACAACCACCACATTCAACAATTGCAGTGCAGATACGAGCGCATCGCTAGTGCGGTGCGCACACGCAGATCACATACGATGGGCGATATCGATTTTATTCGAATGATTCCCTAATATACCCACCCAAGTAGACGGTTTGTATGTTTGTGTACATACTTAACCATTATTTTCTTCCATGAATAATTGCCAAATTAAACGTCTTGGGAATGAAAAATGTCGAGATGCTCGGTGCAAAGTAAAAAGGGATACATACGATCACGATACATAAATCTTTCCGTAAACAAACCATAGGATTTTCTGAAAGCTTAGCTATTGTTTGTAAACTTACCATCAATGGTTTCAAAAACACCCTTTACCAACAGATCTGAAACGCCAATGTAAACCCAATAATAAGGCTGCGTTTTGTTCCAAAATTCTATTACAGCGTTAGCTTCTGTCTCGTCTTCAGGGTAAAAGAACGTAGCCCCTTCCATTTCACACACAGCCTTCGCATCGTGCCAGGTCTTAAATATGGTGTGTATTTTATAAAAACTATCAGTTTCCTCTAAGTAGGTGTAGTCTTTACGAAAGAATTTCTTATCCCGCTGTGCATCTGTAAGTAGTATATTCTTAAACTAAAAAAAACTTTTCTTTAAAAACAAGCTTTTATTGCTACTTAATAAAAGAACTAAAAAGCCAAAAATAATTTAATCTGTAAAAAATATTCCATTTTATTGGTACCTATGCATAGAATAAAGTTACATATGAAAATGTTATCAAATTACTTTTATTATAATTTTAGACGAAACGGACGCATATATTTTACTGGTAAAAACATTTATTCTAAAACTTAGAACTTCGAAGATAGCAATTGAATAAAGGTACATGTAATTTTTGTTTTAAGAGCACTAGTACCTTTTGGATAGGCAGAAAAGCAGCCTGCACGGCTTCAATTTTGTTACAAACTGAGACTTTTTACTAAATGTTTGATTCATTTTTTCTTATTTGCCATATTATCATAAAGTGACGCGACAAGATATATAAATTTTGTAAAACAAAGTTATATCTTCACACAATATTGACACGTTTCCCAAGCATAAGGTCTGATATGCATATATAACATGAAGATGTCCGTAGTAAATTGTCACATAATCACATAAGATACTCTTAAATAACAAAATATGAGCCGTAAATGTAGTTTTTTTTAAACAATAAATGCGTCATAATTTGCTATTCAATGCTTTATATGATTGGTAAAAAAAAACTAGAAAAATACCAATACAAGTTAAAGCAAATTTTACATCTTACAAACTTCAAATCGCTTTACTGTAAAGTAGGGATTATGCAGAAGTAGCTTTATCCTATGGATAGGTCGATATATATATATATATATATATATATATATATAATAATGAATCGTTGAAAAGTAAGTATCACTTCCGAACGACTGCACCAAATTGTTTAATTCTTTTTTTATTGTGTTCGTTATTGCTCTGAACTTTGTTTTATTTGTGTAGTAGTTTCTTTTTAATTATGTTGTTCCCACTAGTATATGACATAAACGGTCCATCCCACCAGAAGAGGTCCAAATCTGATGGGTTTGCATATGGATATCATCTAGGACCAAAGTACTAATCAAATGTGCCCAAACTCTATGCGATTACGTCGTTTTAATTTGAAGATCCTATGGCCACCTTTCAGCTCCATCACCAGACTCTGATTACTATATAGGACCAAAGTACTCGAATCAAACAGCCCAAACTCGATGGGTTTGTCTCATTTTATTACGGACTTCCTATGGCCACCTTCCAGCTCTAGCATCAGACCCTGAATAAGTACTCGTCAAGACAAGTCAAACTAGCCCAAACTTGATGAGGTTGCGTCATTTCATTACAGAGTTATTATTGCCACCTTGCAGCTCGATCATCAGATCAGCTATAGATCGCGCCAAACTTCTTGTCCGACCTGAAGTAGTTTCGCGCAGGTGTACAGCCCTAAACACAACCTTCGTCCCTTTAAATACCTGTCTTTTGTTAATACGACGCGAATTGTGCAGTGTTCAGAGCGGACTAGAAGATTGGCGCGATCTATACATGGTACCATATTATTGCATTGACATCAGTCTTAGGTACATAAGTATGCCAAATTCAGCTGTTTTTTTTACAAATTTTAAAGCTACATACCTACATACGAACATTGCAAGTTAAATAAAAGCTTGTAAAAAATCAGCTATTGATCGCAAGTATACTATTATGGTTTTTGTAATAAATATATTGAATTGAAACGAATTGTAATTGGATTTTTACTTTTGGGACATTATAATGTTAAACAATAAATTGATGAAAGTAGGTGACTATTGTTAAGTTACCATGTAGGTAGGTACTTAGTTACTTTACTTCGTTTTTACGATATTAATAATAATAACCCCGATACCATCATCATACTTCATTATAAACAAAGACAAAATTATCCATATCTCTGAAGCATTGAATACCTACACAAAGCCACGGTAATATTATCTATATATTACCGTGACAAAGCCAACAGCGTGTTAATGATAGTGTAGGTATAATTTTTTAATCAAAGTTTTAAACTCTATTCTTTCTTATAATTGTGATTTATTGAAGAAACGTTTAAAATATGGTATGAAAAAAACTAAATCTTTCTATACATGCATGTAATGAACAGCTAACTTTTAAGTTAATTTATGCTTATATCCCGCTAATTTATATACAGCTTTCACTTCGCTCATAAATTTCAGTCACTTTTTTGACACAAATTGACACCGAATTTGATCAGGAAACAGATAAGCTTACTCATTCTAAAAAAAAGCAAAACGCAAATTATTTATATCGAATTTTGTTCGGAATATTCGATAACATACTCGTAATTGATAAATGTGAGAGTTGGGATGTTATTAAAAAATTCTTAAAGCAAATGAAATATGCATGCTAACACTGAACTTACTTAAACTATGAACAAAGAAACATTAGTACTTACATATGAACACAAACAAATTTATCACTACAAACAAAAGCTTCCCATACATTTCGGAACACGATATTAATTTTTTACATGCATGCACCCAACACGTCTATCTCTGACCACGGTCATATGGTATTGGTTTAAGTTATGATATAGTAAACATAAGATAAAATGTGTTCATATTAGACTTGATAAAATACGCACAAGGAACAGTACATCACATTCATGCCACTGAGGTTAAATCTGTTTGCCGTCGTATGTATCAACAATGTAATACATATTTATGTTTTAGTGTCTTCTTCTTTCTTCTTCTTCAGCCTTCTTTTTCAACCGTCTTGCTGTAGTGTAGGCCTTCCTCAACAATTTCCATTCATTGCGGCATTGTGCCTTAGCGTACTTACACGTATATAAATTTTCATAAATTGCATGAATACACAAGTGCGTAACACGATAAGTATAATTCTGTTACTGTCAACGTTATTACGTTCGCACTGCTGGGCCACAGACTTTCCCACAGAAATGGATTTATTTCTGTAGACCCTCACTGCGGAAGGATTAAAGAGTACAATTTAGCACACAAGCGTTATCCACACTGGGTCCTAATGACTGCAAATATAGGAGGGATAAAAGATTTAATGTGGTTTCCGAAGTATGAAGAAGCTTGAAATAGCAAATGGTCGCCCATCTTATTATTAGCTATTGGGACAATACACCCAAAACTTAAACAAAAATATAATTGTAATTAGAACTTTTACAATAATACAACAAATAACACTATGTGTTGTTGTATAAATACATATTATTTAAGTACACACAAGTTGCTTAGTTTCCACAAACTGAAAATGCTATTCATGTGTCCAAAGATTTAAATCTTTGATTGCGTCAGCAAGCTTGTAGGTACGCAAATAGTTTTGTTCCCATTAAGTATCTAGTACTACAACTAAAGAGATTTTTTGTCAGACAACTTCTTTAAACAAACTTTAAATGTAAATGTAAGTAAAATGTCATTAAAGCCTAATTTGCCATTGTTCTAAGATTTTGTTCAGATGTGGGTAATATTGACAAGTTGCTAGCCTATCGGAAACAATATTTTCTACCTTATCCGCCCGTGGGCTTTTACTATCTGCACGGAATAGTTAGCTGTTAGAGCACATCATTCGACCACCATTCCTTTCCCTGAACAATCTTATAAAAACACAGCAATCCTCTTTCTGTCTCGGTTTTATTACGAATACTACGCCTGTCAAGATCGCAGACGATATACGTGTGGGCATGGAGAATCGGCAGCTCACCTTAGATTTGAGTAACGCTTTTAACATGGTTGATTTCGATATTTTAATATCAATGATGGTTTCTATTCCTCGACCGGTGATGGACTGGTTTCATAGTTACTTACTTGGACAGCGGCAGCACATACGCGTGGATGGAAGTTTTTCATCATAGTGCGAGTGCGATACAACAGCCGGCGTTCTGCAGGGTGTCGTTTTTTCTCCTCGTCTTTTCGTTATTTTCATAAATTCAAGCTCTCTCTTCTTTATTTAATATTATTATGATCTCCCAATGTATACTACATTGGGAGATCATCTGTATACACAGTACTGTATACAGCTCTTCTGTGGAAGAACTATTAACAACAATAATCTATCTATCTATAGCGATTATCAAGAAGAGAATTCCTTACAAAATCCTTGACTATAATTTTATCTATTTTCCAAAACTGCCATGCTTCAATAAAGCAACTATAATACTGATAAACTACCTGGCTACTAGCAGATATGTGCGTTTATACATTTACTATGGTCATGACATGACGTTTCAGAAATCCTTTTAATTTTTGTATTTTTTAAATAATTATTAAAATCATTTCGTAAGTATTAATTTTTCTCGAATTAAATGGGAAGAAATAAAAGACAAGAAAGTTTTTTATAGTTTTATCTTAAGGTATAAGTTAATTCGCATAACAATGTTTCATATAAATTTCCTTATTTTGTACACACCCTTTCTTGGTTCATTTTGTAGTTATTATCTTGTATAAAAGTTAGCTTACTAACATTTTAACATACATCAGTCTGTTCCCTAAATCTATAATTCGCAATTTCACAGCTTCACACCTGCGTTAAATAAATTAATAAAAGATGACTTAAGGCACAGTATTCAATAGAGTAATGAACTAAAAGGTTTAAGAAACAATATAATAAAATTGTATTGGGTAATTCATTACTTATTACTTTCTCATTTGAGATAGTTGCATACTTAATATTTTTTTTATAATTTCGATAATGTATATGTATCAAACACACTGGCTGAGCACCCACGGATTGCAAAATTTATGAAGCTCTTAGCGGCCGCCCGCTATTTCGTCTGCGTTAACTTTAGTTTTAGGACTTAATATGATTATTATTATAATATAATTAATAAATAAATTAGATGGCCTCGATTTAATGACGTCTCGGTAGTAACGCCATGCCTGCATCCTTACCCTTATTATATTGTTAACTAATAAGACTAATAAGAAAAAACAGTAAGTTTATTCCCTATTTAATTGATACCCGGTTAATCCTATATTTTATCCTTGACTTCACCGCTTTAAATAATTTTCCGAATTTGGAGAAATATTCTTCTTTTTTTATTATTATTATTCCGTACACCGCCTGCAGAAGCGTGCCCGGAGTTAAGACTTTAGGGCAAGCCTTAAGGTGCTTTTCCACCAGAGATCTGCTATGCAGCTATGCATAGCACATCTCTGGTGGAAAATAATAGGCGAGGATGTGTCCGCTAAGCTACGAAACTACATGATCGTTTCCACTAATGCTAAGCTTTGTAGCGGGGCGAGTAAGATGTGCCGCCGCAAACTTTCAGTGACAAACGCGGGCACTCTTCTCTTGATATAATTACACCACTTGCAGCCATCATAGCCCGCATCCAGAGCATGCATCCATAACACGCATCCATAGCACGCATTATTTCCATATAGAAAACATAGCTATGTTAACTAAGCTTAGTTGAACCCATTTCCACCAGTGCTATGCTATGTGGACCAATGAATTTTATTCGGTGGATATCAAACGCATCCACAACAACGTAGCTTAGCACATCTCTGGTTGAAAAGCAGCCTAAAGCTCAAAAGGTGCTTATATATCTTGTGTTCTATAGTCATGTTTAAAATAAGTAAAAAATATTGTTTCTACAAATAATTGAACGATGACAAATGAAATTTTCTAACAAATATTATGACAATATTGTGTTATGTTACAATTTTGATGCATTTAAATTTACTTGTAGTGTAAATAACTTGGTTAGGACAAGCCGGACTTTTCAGCTTATATGAACATACTACTGCCACTGACCGTCTGCACTATAGTTAACTTACCACATATCGAATTTTTTTTTAATTATCCGTCGCAAGATCTCATAACCAAACAAAAGAATACGTAATACGTAATAAGAATACGAACTATACAGATAGTTAACAATATTATTTATCTATCTATATTTGACGAAAGACACGGAGAGTAATTACTCTCCGTGTCTTTCGTCAAATATAGCACCTAAGATATCTATGTCGTGTTCGCATATAAAGAAGGCTTTTCTTGAGCAGTTGATGTCATTCAATGTTCCACTGTAGAACATTGAACCGCACTTTTCGTTGTCACCACCGTCAGGTTGCTGATTTCCCCATTTGATGTAACCACTATTTTCCAGAGGAACTCCTGCAGACATATTTTATTATTATTATTTACAAATTCTAGAATTAAATAAAAAGTACCTACAACAGTTAGTCTTAAAAGTAGTCAATATGGATTAGGTTAATTCTTTCATTAAACAGGACGAAGATTTTCTTATGAATAATACTTATTTCCATAATCACTGTACCATAGAAACAACTTTTATTGCAAAAGTGTAACGTGATCTAGTTGTCGAGAAGAAATATTTTCTCAATCAGTTTATTGTAAATTAATCAATTAATTAATTTATTTATTTATTTATTAATTAAATATTATGCAATATTGTTATCAGCCCTCGAGAATATTTTCCAAGTGGTTACTCGATTCAGAGGAGAAAAATTGTTTAGCTAATGTTATAAAATAATTAAATACCTTTAATCGTTTTCCATCCGTCTCCAAGTCTATTGTGAAAGCCCAGTAAGACTGCGCCTCTGAGAAAGTCGCCTCCGATATTATCCTTCGGTGCCTTATCGGTTAGCTCTTTCAGATATTCTGCCTCAGCTGGGCTGTCTATGACTGCTAAGTAGGATTGCTCTGCGTTGCATACAACGTAGGCATCAGCCCATGTACGAGGTTTCAAATGAAATTTGTAGCATTTTCCAAAAGTCTCACTGTAATTATAATCTAAAAGAAAAAAGTTTAGATCTATTTACATTATAACAAACATATTCATAAATTAGTTAATCCAAAAAGGCATAATTCGATTGAATCGGTCATTTCAAAAACCTCTATAGTCACATTTTTTTTCAACATGTTTTTTTCAATGAAAATGATTTCCTAAAGGTAAATACGTATTCTATGTAAAAACCAACAATATGCATATAAAATTTCTAAAAAATCGGTCAGGTGGTTTCGGAAGAGTATGGTAACTAACATTGTCACACGAGAATTTTATATAATAAGATAGCTGACCCGACGAACTTAGTACCGTCATAAAAATAGGGGCAGGTGGTAGAAGAGAAAATTTAGGAAATTTTAATACCACATTACGAAAAAAAATTGTTAAAAAAAAATTTTAGGGGTTTGTAACGTAGTTTTCTATCAATTTCCTGGGATAACATTCCCATATGAGAACACTACGTTACAATACCCAATAGTTTGAATTTTGGCGCGAAGGCGCATTATAGGTTTCAGAGCAGTACGTTACAGGTGGACAACCACTATTTATTTAGTGATGAAATTGGCAAGGGCATGGGCCCTCTTTTATCTAAAATGGGAAATTCAATTATCAATCACTGTATGCCTAATGTTTCTTAAAAGGATATCTTAGGAAATGCAATCAAACAGAATTACAGTAAATGCACTACTTTGTTATTTTTTGTGGGAAATAGAGGCAATTTGAACAAAAAATCATTGATTCAATATGTCAATGACCTGAGCTCATTAAATGTTGAAAAAATTATATTGTTTACATTGCCCTATTGTAGAAGTCTGCCAAAGGAGGAAAATATCTTAAGATATAAATTAAATATGCTTTTGTTCACAATGTGTAAAAGTGAAAAATTTCATATTATTGACACTAACAATTATTTGTTTCTTAGGTTTTCAAGCACATCACTCATTAAATAAAACTAGTTTTTACGGGTTAATGCACGAAACTTTATTTATTTATTGACGTTTCGCAGCCTTTTCAGGTCTTAGATTATTCTGACGATGCAGACCTGAAAAGGCTGCGAAACGTCAATAAATAAATAAAGTTTCGTGCATTAACCCGTAAAAACTAGTTTTATTTACTAACAATTATGTTAGAAATTTATATTTGACCAAAGATAAATATTATCTTTCTAATTATTATAAAAGACAGATAGCTAAGTCGCTATCATATTATTTTTATATAACAGCCAAAAACTTGGCTAAACAAATTGCTTTTATTGAGCAATGTTCCATTGACTTGACAGTCAGTAATTCTTCTACTGACAAATTACAAAATAATAACTATTGTTTAAATTGAATAATGAGACAACAGACAACTCGTCTTGCTTAATAATAAATAATTATTGTAATAACTTGCATAAAAATATTAATTTAATTAAGAAAAATCCCAAACAATTAAAAGAAAATGTAAACTTGATCAACCTGATGCATATAAATATTCAAGGAATGATGGGTAAGGACTTAGAAATTGAATTATTTTTGAATTGTAACAATATAGATATATTTTGTATCACAGAGCATTGGCTTAAAAGTCATCAATTCATCTTTAATTTTAATAATCATCAGGTTGGTAGTTCGTTCAGTCGAGAAGATGCGATTCGCGGTGGCTCTTTAATTTTATTAAATAAGGCACTTAAATTTAAGGAACGTAAAGATATTGTGAGCCTCTCGGTTGAGCGAACAATAGAGATTGCTTGTGTGGAACTGGACCAGCTTGTTGTATTGAGTGTATACAGACCTCCTTCAGCATTGTATGATTGTTTTGAAACTATTATGGATGAAGCTTTAGAAAAAATTGTCAACACTGGTAAACGATTAATTGTTTGTGGTGACTTTAATATTAATCTATTAGAAACCTCTAATTTGAGTATTAAATTAAGAAATCTATTTCAATCATATAATCTTGAAAACTTGTTCATGGAGCCTACTAGAATAACTGCCACTTCGGCCACTTGTATTGACAATATTTATACGGATATAATACCACATTCAAAAGTAATTGTTAATCAACTGGTGTGTAGTAATTGTTAATCAAATTAGTGATCATTGTGGCCAGATGATTACTTTTCCATATCCAAATAAAAATATCACCAAGAAATATATTACTATTGTGCCAAAATCTGTTAACCGTGTAGAGCGTTTTAAAATTCAATTAGATAGGAGTTTGAGTTATTTAAAGTATAAAAGTAGTCCAAATGATATGTATAATGATTTTTTTAATAATTTTTGTAAAGAATTTAATGATGTCTTTGTTCCCAAAACCATATGTGTTAGTGATGCAGTAACTTTCAGCGAGTGGGCCACCCCAGGCATACATAAAAGTAGAAGGAAACTTTATGAACTTTACAATGAACGCAGCATTAATAGTGAAAGTTTCAAAGAGTACGTACGTAATTATTCAAAGTTATTTAAAAAAGTATGTAGTACAGCAAAATCAAATTATTTAAGTAATAAAATTAAGAATAGTAATGACAAAATCAAAATGACTTGGAACATTATAAACAATGAAACTGGAAAATCTAAAACTCGAAATACTAGTTTTAATTTACATAGTAGTTTTAATTTACATAACATAGAAATGTTACATCAGATGTTGAAGTTGCTACAGCATTTGAGAACTTTTTCACTGATATTCCAGTTTCAACTACAAAATCTTTGAACTCGTCCCCCATTGCTGCTGAATCAATATTAAAAGAACACACAAAACAATATACTAGTCAATTTAAATTTAAGTATGTTAACTGTAAAGATGTAATAAAATATTTCAACCAATTAAATAAAAAGAAAACTGCGGATCTGTGGGGTAACTCCGTGGATGTTTCTGGATCAGTAATTGAGACAATAGCTCCTATTTTGGCTAGCATTTTTAATCAATGTGTTGACTGTGGTGTTTTTCCTGATCTAATGAAACTCAGTAAAATAACTCCATTACATAAATCGGGTAGCACAGCTGACCCCACAAACTTTAGACCTATATCCGTGTTACCCACCTTTAGTAAGATTTTTGAAAAAATTATGCTAGATCAAAGGCAATCATATTTTTATAGTAATAACATTCTTCATAGTAAACAATTTGGTTTCACAAGGGGTCGCTCAACAACCGATGCCGGTGTTGAGCTTGTACAGCAAATTTTTGATGCCTGGGAGAACTCGCAAGATGCATTAGGTATATTTTGTGACTTATCAAAGTGTTTGAAATTTGTATTACCTAATGTGAAACAGGTAAAAACTAATGTAAATATAAAGGATCGACATATGAGCTCTGTAGATACCACAGTGTTCTTAGGAATCACACTAGATTCTAAGCTGCAGTGGGGCCCACATATTGATGGATTGTCGAAGAGACTTAGTTCTGCAGCATATGCTGTAATGAAAATACGGCAGTTAACGGATATAGAAACTGCCAGATTAGTCTACTTTAGTTATTTTCATAGTGTAATGTCTTACGGTATTTTACTGTGGGGAAATGCCGCCGACATTCAAACTATATTTGTGCTGCAGAAGAGGGCTATTCGATCAATTTATAATCTTAAAGTTCAGGATTCAATAAGAGATAAGTTTAAAGAAATAGGTATATTGACAGTTGCATCACAATACATATATGACAACTTAGTATTTGTAAAAAAAAATATTAATTTGTTTACTAAAAATAGTGAAATACATACATATAATACTAGAAATAAAAATAACTTAACTTTACCTGCTACTAGGCTCCACAAAATCAATAATTCGTTTAGAGGTCTTAGTGTTCGCTTTTACAATAAAGTTCCAAGCAATATTCAAGAGTTAAGCATAACTAAATTTAAATCGACCATTAAAAAATCACTAGTTAAGAAAGCATATTATAAAGTGTCTGATTATATTACAGACAAAAATGCTTGGGTATGAACTGTTCCAACCATTCCAACGGGTATTTCTATATGATTTAAATTATGAATTATGTGTTGACAATACTATAATTAAACTGAAAGCTGTATATAAAGTTAATAACTTAAGTAAGATTATCAGACTGTTTAAGAATATTGGATTGACAAAACGGCGTGGTGGTGATTTCTCCTTTGCTTTGTTTTGTAATTGTTTGTTGTGTCTTACAGGTAAATGATCTTAATTTAAGTAAATATGTTGTAGTTAGTATGGGTAGTTATGGGTAGTCATGCTCTCATAATAGTCTCTTCGGCGGTGTCGTGTGAGGCGGGTCGTTACGTTCCCTAAAATATGGTTGAGCGAAGCGATGGCTGGTTCATGCGTCATGCTCGTGAACGGGTGCTGCCAGCGGAGATGAGTCTGCCCTAACTTACTTAATATTGAAGTTAATGTTTAGTCACACTGAATATAAATAACACTATTTGTATTTATACTGTATGACACAGCAATCAAAATGAAGGTAAACAATTAATGTATATTTAATAATTATGTAATGAAATGTGACTTCATGAATCACCTCTGAAGTCATTTTTCAATTTGACGACTCTGTAAATAATAAAACAGGGAGAAAAAAAACAGCCCTTGCTGAGTTTCTTGCCGGTTCTTCTCAGTACAAGGTCTCCCGCCGTAGATTTACGAACCGATGGCGTAGCTTCTAGACATTCATATGTGCTTGTAACAGCCTAAATTGAATAAATGATTTTGATTATGATTATGATTACTATCACTTATGGATATGAAAAATAGATAGTAGCCGATTCTCAGACCCACGGAATATGCATATAAAATTTCATAAAAATCGGTCAGGCCGTTTCGGAGGAGTATGGTCATTAACATTGTGACGCGACAATTTTATATATAAGATAATATATTCGCGATAAAATAACTAAATATTTACTTAATATATAATAATAATAATAATAATATTTATTTCACAAGCCAGTTTTACAAGAATCGTACATCACAATATACACTATAGCTTAGAATAAACATTTATAAACATTTATAGTATCCTCTGTGCCTGTACTAGGTTATAAAAATACCTG